AGCAGTTGCCAGAAGAGTACAACTGAGCAAAGCAATCTGTGCTTGCAGAAAACCCTTTGGAATCTAACAATGGCTCAGCCTAGATGCTGTGTGGCACTGTGATCACACTGCCCCACAACCCTTCCACCAGAGCAATCCCACTGCCACAGTTCCTGACACATCCTTCCTTCTTTCCCCCCACCCCCCCAAAAAAAAAAAATAATAAAAATGGACCCATCTCCACAGCTCAGCAGAGTTCAGTATTTCATGCATGGGATACTTGACCTCACGGTGTAATTAAGAGTAGTGTGCTTGCCCTTTGTTCCTACTAAACCTGGAGGAACTTCCAATGCCAACACATGCAGGCGTCAAATGGATGCAAGGAGAGATGCTCGATGATCTGGGTTCATTCTAGGAAATGTTTTCATTCCTTGAAATTAGCCCATTTTATGAAGTGTTTGCCTTCTCTATCCTTTAAAAAACAAAGGCGTCCCCCACTCAAATACACAGCAACCCCAAAAGCTTCTGTAATGCAAATTAACATTTGTCTGAGCAGGAGGATAGGGATCTTTGTGGCAGCCATTAGCCAGCAAAGGGCATCCTCACCCMTGAATCCACCCTCTGTAAAGCCCTCCACAAAAGGCCCAATCCMACCTCTTCTGTGGTCATTTCAAATCTTGAAGAATAGAAACATTCTAATGGAAATAGTTCCACCCCAGACTGCAGGGATACAACTCTTAACACTTTAAAAATATCACGTTAAAATAACCTCCTTCCCATCCCAAGCAAAAACCCTCCATTCTAATATAAAAATTCTMTATGCTGTTCTACAGCTTGAGAAAACAGCTTGAGAATTGCAAGATGCCTGTGTAGATGAGCCTGTAAGTCAGCAGCATTTCAAACCTCGCTTGCCAAATTGGAGTTTATATTTTAAATTCCAATTTTCCATTCAGTATATTTCAAAGGAAAACTTCTAGGAACTGCATATCATGTTTTAATTATTAAGAATGGTATACATTAAGTTTTTTGCTATACAAAGAAAGACYATTGGGAGAATATCAGGCTTCTGTTACTGCAGGGAAAAGAGGTTTTTTTATGGGCATAACAGACCTTTCCCCACTCAGAAAGCACAACTGTGTGAGTTTGCCATGAAAACCTAAGCCAGAAATTAAAAAAAAATAACCAGAAAGAAAACCAACAAACACCCCACACATCAGCAGAACCACTTCATTAACCATAAAGCAATTTGTGCAATCTGGCTTTCRTTTTCACAGATTTTATGGGTTCCTCTTCAATGTGGTAGTTTCTTCATCTGCACTGATACAGTAGAAGACAGSTTCACATCCACATTTTAAAAGCCACTGCACTCCAGAGTGAGCTTTARTTCTTTTATCTGCCACTCAAAAAGCATCTGAGCTTAAGTACATGCTGCTGAGGTGCAACTGAACCTGGAGACTAATAGATCCCTTACCACTAGTGACCTTTTTTTTTTCTCTACTTCTCTCATTTTCTCTGCATACCTCAAAATTATTTTTTTAACTTACATTTGTTACTAAAAACAAGTATGTTTTTTTCTTGGTTGGGAGAAGTTCGGGAGATTAAAAACCCACTCCAATGCAGGTATAAGGAGTTGGTTTAAACACTAATAAAYGCAAAACTCTCCAATCCCCAAGCASCACACTCACTAGCAGAAAGGAGAAAAAAAGGAGCTTTTGCAGGATTTTTCCCAAAACACTTCATAGTGATTCTACCAGCAGAAACAGCAAGACCTAATATAATGAGTACTTAGTAAACATTTACTACCTGTGGCATGCTATTTTCTAGGAAAGTTAAAGGTAAACACAAAAGTTGTCTTCACTAGGAAAAACAGTGAYCTATGCCAACTCATTCAAAACCACAGTCTCTGTTTTAGAATAAGTTCAGCCATATAGTTCAAGAAATTATTAAAATGCTCTGTCTCATACAAGAACTCAGATTTGCAGGAACATTTCAACAGGCAGTTACAAACTTCAGCAGGACAGAAATACTAGGGGGAAAAAAGCCCAAACAATTGGGTTGTTTGCCTGCTTGTTCCTTTAGTATCTGATAGCAGTCTGTAGGTAAAGTCTAGCTGATCCCTGAGAAGRGATGTATAAATTTCAGAGATTCACTCACAGCCACTTCCCCACGCACACATCTCGAAGCTGCAYGTCTTCATTTATTTCAGCTCCTAATGACTGCCAGGAGGAGGTGAAGAGTCAAMTTAAATTGGTTCAGCTTTTACTCTTCACAGGGCCACAAGCTTTAATTTCAACTACTCTTTGCATAAGTTAAATAATAAACACGGYACTCTCTTTATTTGATTCTTAAACCATCCGTATCTGAAGCACAATGGGACATGTCACAGACACTTGCTTCGCTGCCCTCATAATATGGTTTAATTATGATGACTGAACTAACAGGCTCACATCATAGACTTTTACAGGTTGACCCTGTGTCATCCTGATGTATCATTTTGCACCAGTTCAGTGCTGTAAATCAATTTAAGATCTCCAGCAGGTTGAAAAGGCTGGTAATGATGCTTTCTCTGCAGTCTCTGGGGACTCCACATTATACACAACTTACATTATTTATAAAGCTGAGATGATGCCTCCATTAGGCCTGTAAGACTACTCAAATGAGCTTTTATTTTACGCACAGAGCTTGGGCATCACAGAGCAGAACACTGGCAATATGTAATATCCAGTGCATTCATGCTTTAATTTAAAAAAAAAAAAACCAAACCAAAAAAAAAACAGTCATAAGCCCTTTATGTTTTAAATTTCAATCTTTATACCAAGCAAGGAACCTTGTAGTTTAATCTGAATAATTTCCCGCTACTCAGAAACACAAGTAGCACTTTTATTAACCTTTGTATTGCTTTTCTTCATGTTCAACTCTTTACTTTTGTGTTCAAACTACAGAGAAAAAGCAAACACCAAACTCACCAGATTTCAAATATTTGATKTGATAGTTAATATTTATACCAAAACAGAAACATCTCCATTTGTTGACTCAGTCACTTCTCTCAAAGGTATCAGATCATCACATCTTCAAGGGTACACAAAAAAGCAAGTTGAACAGGACAGAGTAGGAAAAAAATGTATTTGATTACATACCCAATGGTAATGGGGTCAAAACAGATGCGAGGACAAATCCTTACCCTTAGGGTAACCTGATCATGCCTTGAACTGATCCTTTCTGGTAACTGTGGAAGGCTTCTGGATCTCCCAAATGAAGGGAAATTTCTCTCAAGCATCTACTTACAATCTRAAGTAAATTGCAATATTTCATCCCTCACACCACAGCAAGAACTTCCAAAAGGGCCCAGATCTCTCTCATTTTCACACTGATGTTCTTCCAGTCTCAGTAGAGAAGTGAGCATTCAAAACCTGCACTAAAATCCAATGAGAATCTTGAAAAAGCTTCATAGCACTGCTCTCTGGTTGAAGAGGAAAAGTGAGTATTGATCACTTACAACTAAAAAACTCATGTCCCATAATTCAGCCAAGTAATTATAAGCGAAAGACAAAATTACGCCAAACTTAGCTTCCCTCACATGATTTGCTCCTATTGTTTGACAGGACAAGGTGCACATAAGCCAGCCACATGAAGACTGGCAGAATTACAGACACACACCTGAAAGGAAAAGTGTTCCCTGCAAGCTGGGTAAGCTTCAGTTTTTAGTCTTACTCCTGGCTGTTGCTTAAAAGCACACAAAACTATTGGACAAGAAAATATTAAACAAGTTGTCTTTTTCTGACTTTCYCTCAGTGTGCAAAAGATTGAAACTATCACCTATGACAGCTCTTTCCTAAGCATGCTAGTTTTAAGATGTCRTATCTTTGACATCCATTATACACTGACATGTTTTCAGGCAATGATCTTTTTCCATTTGCCTGTATCTGAAATACACATCTACTTTTACTCCTCCCCATCTGGCTCTAACAMTACTGTTTTTATTAACTTCTGTTTATAATACTTCCCCAAATAAAACTGTTACCTTTTAGACATGCAGTGAGCATCATTYTAAAATATACTGAAATAACAATTAATTTTCAGAATAAGCTGTTATTATCCAGATACTGTAAAAGCAAACTGTAAGGTCGGACCACATACCTTCTTCAGATTGATCCACTAACAAAAGAGCAATCACAGCAACCCTGCCCCCGTCAGAACTCCCTCTGAYTTCAGTTTATAATAAAAAAAAAGTCAGTATTTGGCCCAGATCCTTTTGAACGCATGACTGAATATTTCCACGCCAGTAATTTTAATAAGCTTTAAAGATCTATATTCAGGATAAGATTATTTGGCTGTACGAGTATATGAAGCAACTATATTGAGGAGGGGAAAATCTCAAGCATCCAAACCCTCTAACAGGGAGAAGGAAAAAAAAAAATTAAGTGAACTTTCCTTGACCTCTAAGCACAGATTTGTCATTAAAAAAGAAAGAAGGGGAGGGGGGAAAAGAAACAACCAAGAGGGAAAGAGGCTGCGGAAAGAAAGGCAAGAAAGGAAGGGGGAAAAAAAGAATAAAGAAGATAAATTAGAGGGAGAGGGACGCGGCTGGGCCGAGGCGGGAGCGAAGGGCTGTTCCCGCACACACAAAGGCGGCCCCTGCCCCGGCCGGCCGGGGCTCCGCCGCGTCCCCGCGGGCCACGATGGGGCCGGGGCCGGGGAGGAGGCGGAGGACGGCGGCTTCCCGGCGGGGAAGGGCTCTGCCTCCCGCCGGGCCCGGCGCGGCACCTACCCACCAAGTTGGAGCCGGGAGCGGTCCCCGCCGGGCCGCCGCAGGGACGCCATCATGCCGGGGAGGGGAGCGGGAGCGCAGCGCTGCACAGAGCCGCTCCCGCCGCGCCGCCCGGCCCCCGGCACCCCGGGCAACACCGCGGCACCCCGGGCACGGACCGGGGAGCAGACAGAGCGGGAGGATGCGCGGGCACAGCCGCCCGGCCCCAGGGGCGGCGAGCGGGGAGAGGCGCGGGGGGACGCGAAGTTGTTACCGGTGACGGGCGGCCGGCGGGCAGCTCCTCCGCGCCGGGATCGGGATCGCAATCGGGAKCGGGATGGATGTGGCCCGGCTGGCGTCAGGCGGCCGGAGCCGCCCCGCGCCGCTCACCGGCACACGCACACTCACACACACACACACATACACACACACACACTCTCTCTCTCACACACACGCACCGGCCCGRCCAGGGATCCTCCCCAAATTCCCGCCCCCGCCGCCGCGCCGCCGGGTCCCGCTGGGAGCGCTGCGCCCGCCGCCGGAGAGCAGCCCCGGCACGGCCCGGCCCGGCCCGGGCGCTGGGTGCCCTCACACACAGCCCGGCCCTGGGGCGGCAGCGCCCTCCGACACTCTCACAGAGCTTTAAAAGGCGATTCTGCATCGCYGCAGCGGCTGGGAGCTCCGGCAGCGGGGCTGCAGGGACAGGGGCAGATGCTGTCAGACTTGGAGTTAAAGTTCATTYCTGATCGAACAGGATTACGTCCTGCCGCTTGCCACAGGCGATTCAGCCTTGACTTGGTCTAGTCTTAATACTGAGGTAATTGCTGTAATACTTGCCAATGACAGAGCACTCTCTGTCCCCAGGTGYTGTACACGTGGGCATCCCGTTGCCCATAGGTATTGCTGCCCTTACTCCTCCTTCATGCGAGTAAACCTATTACCGTGCGTGAGGCTTCTTGTGCAGTCAGACCTACAGTAACGAAGCCTCATGCCGCTGTCTCTCTGAAATGAACTTGAACTCCTTTTGGATCTGCAAGTGTCAGCTCCTAAGTGGACCTGGCTGAAAGTTGGGAGCCCACGTGGAACAGTGAGCCTCTCCTGCCTGCTGTGTTTACAGGGATCTTAACAGTAGTCACGTAAGTGTTGCGCAAGATTGAACTGAAACTGATTCTTTAACAAATACTTTGGCTTTTACCCAGTCATCATTCCTGGAAGGWGATATGAAGCAACAAGTGTAAGATGTTTCCTTCTACGTGGCAAAATATTCTGATAAGCCTATACTGGCATAATTGCATCTCTATACTTAGATCAGTAAAATTTCACATGTATATGCAGTTGTGGATATGGCTTTAGTCTCATTTTAAAATCCAGCAACCCTGAGGCGCAGAGGACTTAAGGCCCTAGGAGTTTTATCAGATGAACCATGGTCCTGGACTGTTCAGGTGCACTGAAAATCTGGGGATGCAACTGGAATGGCTTGCCCAAGGTGACAGAAGGAGCATGACAGCCTCAGTAAAAAATACYCCGGTTTATACCTATGAGGGTATTGGCACTTCTTTCTAATTTCATAATCTAAAATTCATCCATTTCTTTGTCACGTAAATACCACATAAATTGCAAACAGCTGAATTGTGCTGTGTTTTAGGTATTATCCTACAAGCATAATATATATACAAGCGTAGTGAGGAACACCTGTGCAGGATGATGCCATAATATTGATGGGGGAAGCCTGGAATAAAATTACTATTTTAGTGCTTAAGTTTCAAACCTTAAATGATTCAAGATGAGTGAACTCCGGTAATCAGCTTTAACATTTTGTGCTCGCACTGTATGCAACTGCAGTTAGCAAGTAAACTTTTTATGTGCAATCACAGATTCAGTGCGGCACTGGGCTGCAGATACAGATGGTAAAGTTTATGTCACGACAGATTGAGAGGTCTTTAAATTTTGTCAATGTAATGAAGACATTTGCAAGCAAGGTACAGAGAAMCATGAGACTGCTACTGGGTTTTGTACTATGGTAGTGCTTAATCTGGGGCCAAGTGTCCTGGATCAAGAGTGGTGGATGCAGCAGTAGTATCTGCCCCAAGAGCTTGGAAATCTCAGYGATCCACTGAGAAATGCATGGAAAAGGCTTTACATGTGCCTCAGCTCTGCTCTGCTTTGCTCTGCACGCTGTCTTGCTGGGCACAGGCTCCATCCACTGGATCCTGGTTGCTCAAGTATCAATTCATGATTCACACTAAACAGATATGACAAGGAGATAATTAGAGAAGCACTGCAGTTTGTCAGGTGTCTCGTTAGAACCACGTTTTTACTGCTTTTGTTGTTGTTAGGGTTGACTGGTTGGTTGGCTTTGGCATGGGAGAATTAAATTATTTTCTACTTACRTTGAGGCTTGGGGAAGATCACATTAATATGCTCCTTTCCCTAAAAAGGGCTATAAAACAGCCTAGGATAGCCTTTCACTGATGTTTAATAACGAGAGTGGTTGTTCTGGACAKGGCTGGGTAGAGCTGCCTTTGCACAGACCAGTGGTGTGAGAAGGCCAGAGAATAAGCAGAAACAGTGCACCCTGGCCAGATCTGCCTTGAGGCTTCCCTGSCTGGGCTGTTCTGGCACATAGCTGAGGCAAAACTTCAAGTCTGCCCCTCGCTTTAGGATGTCCAACTCAGAGCTGACTGTCCRAACCCATTATTCTGTGGGTAAGCARTATCAGCAGTGTTACTGTGCACTCACCGTTTCTAACTCACTGGCTACTTTTAATACCCTGAATCGTTACTGTCTTCCTGTTTTATTCTGAATGACATTAGAAAACTGAGAAAAGGAGATCAGAGGGATATGCACAAATCTGGGTATCAACCTTGATACTCCTCTTCACTGGGCTGAATAACTGTGCTATCTCAAAAGGCAGCAGAGAAWTTTTTTTCTCTTTTTATTCTGCAACTACACAAACATTCAGACTGGTGCAAGGAAAACAGGCCGTGAGGCTGGGGCAATGAAGAATTAGAAGMATCATTCCTTCTGTAAACAGCCTGGCTTTTCATCAGATTAGTTGCACAATCTGATGACACCATCCCTCATAAGGTCTGTGAACCTGAATTTTAATGGAGTTGGGGCACTTASGCAGATAAACTTCTAATAAGAATCTTAAAGGAAACTTTAATCTCATAGACACTTTCTAACATCTCACCAAGCATCTGCCCAATCACCTTTAAAATCTGTGTCTTGGAAACAGATTATCAGAAGGCTGAGTGCTAAAAGACATTTACTAAGCTGCATATTTCATACTATTATATTATGTAACAAGTATTTAAAAATACTACTACTAATASTGCTGCTACAACTGCTGTTAGCATTTGATCTTTCTCTAACATCCGAGTTTGTATGTATATTATGATTTGGTATTTCTTGTTAACTACAGCCAGGATTCATCTGGCTTAATCAACAGGTTCCAAGGATGGAGAGTGTCTTCGGGAGACAGTTTAGCTCCAAAGTCAGTAACTTTACCTTCATGTACAGGTTTCTGTCAGAAATTAAGAGTTTCATGAATAATTAAATAATTAAATTATATCAAACACACAACCTAGCATTTACATTAAAATCACTAAAGTGATTTTCTTTTCAGCCATTACAGTGTTGCCCTAGTGTGGGAAAATACCAACCRTATTTTCAGAGAGAAGAGGCAGTTCTGTCAAGAAGAATAATAGCTTTCTAAGGACACTGGATTTCATTATTTCCCTCTTTCTTGGGCTGGCTGGTGAAATTTATCAACTCTCTCCTTCATGGCTTGTCTGTTTTGTCTTTGAATAGGTGAGGTATTAAACAAGTCTCCCACCTCAGCATTATTAAAATAGGATGAACAGATTGCTCAACAACTGCACAAAACTGTTTGGGAAAAGTGCCTCAGGCAGAAGACAGCATGTGGGAGAAGGTAAGGAGCATTTTTAGGAGGTCATCCTAACTGTGCAGCACTGCATATGGTTTTCCAAGCCCATCTGGATAAAAGGTCCTGTCTAGCCACAGTACAAGCACAGGAAAAAARGGAACTAAGTTGGGAAAGGCCTTGAAGAGAGCAACTGTGACATGAGGGCTYTCTGTACTCCTGCTTTGGGGTGTCTGGTCATTTTCTAGAATGAGCATTTCATGAGTTTGTCTCTGTAGGGTCCTCCAGTATCTACAAGGGACCTGCCCTAGTGTTCAGACTCACTGCCACAGGCAAAAGAACAAAGAATCCATGTCACTCTTAGAAGGTCTACCTAAACTGGCCAACCATGAGTAAGTGGGATTCACACAGGATAAACGTGGAACTTGATAATTTTGCAAGGTTATTAYATGTATTTCCCTCTGTTACATTAAATAAGGCTTCTGCAATAAATCTATCTGCAGATACCAGAAAGGTCTTTGATCAGATTGAGTAGTCATTCATCTTTTCCACCGTTGAGAGATGGGAGTCAGACTAAAATTCATTACTTTCTTAAGATTAATGTACCCAGCTAAAGCTGCCAAGATCCTTATTAAAAGTTACTATTCCAAAAGGTTTGGGCTGAAACAAAGTATTAAGCAGGGCACTCCCTTATTTCCTTTATTGGTTGTTTTCTGGGTAGCCTGATGCAAGGACTTTGGCTCCAGCAATGTTACATTTCTGGTAAAGAAGGGAGGCAGCRCTGTTCTGACAGCTCATCAGGTGCTTCCAGGAAGCACAGTAATCCTGCCCATTGTACTGCACCAGCAYTGTACTTTGTAGAGGATGAAATTCTCCCTTTGGATCTTACCTCCATCCATGTAAAAGCTTTTGAAGGTAGTTTCTCCTGGCTATCACCTCAGCGAATGATAATGGACTCGGTGTAACCAAACATTATTGGTTCCTTGAAAATTAAATTTCTCTTCAGTTATTCAGCTTAAAAAGATTTACATAACTGGAATAACCTCGCTCTATTTATGGTTTCTTGGAAGACACTGCTAAGATTAATCTTATCTTCCATTTTAATTACTGTTTTCAAGTTCTTACAGTCCTTGTCCCAGTTACATCTTGTTGCGAAAACCACCAGAGAATGATATATTAAAATTTATTCAGACAGGTGGCAAAGACRAAATTAAAGCTAATAACTCAATGAGAAAAGAAATCAAAGGTGGTTTGGCAATCCTGAGGTGTTATTTCTTGGTCCCTTGGTTGCAGTGGCTGCACAACCAGTGCCCAAAGGCGTGGGGTGTGCGGGTGGCTGTGTGCCAGAGCTTGCTGCTTGGGACTCGGGACTGCCATGGTYACACAGCTGCACTAGAATCCATGGGATGAGGACCCTTGGAGCAGGACTGGTTGTGGCAATGTGTGAAGGCTGGAAAAACCATGGTAACCATGTCTCACCAGAGGGTTCTATCTCAGTTATACCCAAAGAGGAGACAACTGTATTACACTATTGGAAGACAAACAAAACATCCCTTTATTTCCGCGTTTTGTTAATATTTTGTGACAAAATACTCAGCCCCTTTTACATAATGATTAAAAACATTGCACAGAAAGACTCCAAAGTTAGGTTGTCCGAGCTCAGTGTCACTCTTGGCTGCATAAGTSAGTAGTGAAACAGTCCCACCCTCCCTCCTCCACAAGGGCTCCTCAGCCYTAACCCCGTGTCACCCACCCGCTCTGTGCTGGCACAGTTGTTGTGCAGCTGTGAGCTGAACAGGCTTAGGGAACTCAGATGGCCAGGGAAAGCAAATGTTTCAGGGGCCAAGCTCGTTTTAATTTGGATCASTTTCCTGATCTGGCTCATGTGGTTGTCCAAATCCTTGTACTGATCTTGTGCAGGGGCAGGACTGAGATAGGAGGAAGGGTGAAACTTATCTTTTTGATTGTGTTGTTGACTTCAGCCAGGTTAAGGTGGTTATGAAACCGTGATAAACTATGTGAGGTTTTTTTTTTAACCAGGGAAAAATACTTTAACTATAAGCATAACTGCAAAGATTATTTTAGACCTGGATTAACCATATGAACAGGACTCACTGGTAAATAACAAGACAAAGAGAACATATGACTGGACTGAGAAATTCAGTGAGCTGATGTGATCACTACATATTAGAAAAGGCAGCCGTTGGACATTGCACTACATGGTARAAAGAAAAATGTTGTTCCTCTGCTGTTTATGAACCAACCAGAGGCCAAAGAATTGCAAGGATCCCACCAAAAGTTATTAATTGACTCTTCAAAAGACAGAATTATTCTCAGCTGGCTAAAAAGAAGCCAATAGCKCAGCACTGGGTATGCCCACATTCCCATGGTTTTTTCCTTTCCTGTATTCTCCAGAGTTTTCCTTTGCTCTTTGCTTAAGGCGTGGAAGAAACTGAACTTTGGAGAGTGAGTAAATCAGTGTTTAATTAGTCATCACAAGGCAATGGGCTCTTAGTGASTTCTCAATAACAGACAGCCCTGACAATGAATATATGTGTGTTACTTTAGTTTCCGTTTGCACTTTGAGGAGGAAATTACCTTTTATGTTTCAGACAACCTGGCAGTCCCACGAAGTGTTGGAAAAGGTTGCCCACATGACAAAAGCTTTTAGACCAATTTTACATGCCACTCTTTTCTTGCTTGACCCAAAATAGTCAGATTTTTGACAAACAGGCTTGAGCTGCTTTTAAATAAAAGCCCTCAACGTTTCATACAACGTTACACAAATCACATGTGAAAATCCTCTCTATAAGTAAAATTTTTTTTAGAAAGTTAGCCATCTGAAAGTTGCAATCAATCAAAATTAGTGTTGCTAGTACTGTCTTAGTTAAACATTCAGTTTGAGTGTATCCTGATACCTGTCTTTAAGTGAGTGCTCATATACATTCCTCCCGAAAGACCCCTGTCTTATTCTTATTTGAACAGAACAAACAGTGATCAAATAATGGAGAGTTATTTTGTTTTCTCCCYAGGTTCATGCTGGAGCCATTATGAACACTGGTTTTGCAATATTTAGTTGCAAAACTAAGACTAGCTTGCAACTCACAGCTCATCTTTTGACGCAAAACTCATCATTCYTTTTCCTGCCAAAATGCAGGTCTCTTCTTGAGTGAACAGGAGCACTAGAACTTCTCAAAAATTATTCTCTAGTATTTTTAGCTGTGACAAAGAAATGCATTATTTCTTATCCTGTGTTCAGATATCCTTAAGCTGATTCTACTGGCATTTTCTACATATACTCTGCCCAAAGCATACATTAAGGACAATTAACATTTGATGATGTTCTAAACATATAAAATCATTATAGTCTCAATGGGGGAAGTACTGGGCTACCTGAATGACAAGCAATGATGTCAGTCCACTAATAATACAGTTTGAAGGACCAAAGAACACTATGCACATCCAGAAATCCTGCTGTTGTTGGAGGTGTCAGAGAGAAGGGAAAGGACTACATGGCTTTAAATACCAYAGTCAGTGGCTTTTTAGAAACAGWGAGAAAATGAARAAAAAAAAAAGGCACAGATTTGCCTCTTCAGACAACTAGTAGCTTTCATTGTAAAGCATTTTATCTGGACATCTAAAAGTATCATATTTCTAGACAAGGATCAAACGTTCGGTGTGGGCATCACCACAGAAGGTCCCAGAAGAAAGCTGCATGTAGCAAGAGACAGCAATGCTGCCTTACTCTGTCTGGAACCTGCAACCAAAGAGGCCTCACAGGCAGTGCACAGCTGGTCCAGCTGCTACAATGTCCAGTTGCAAACAACATGAACCCTACATCTTGGGGGACCCTGCAGCTCCACCCTGCTCATGTGCCCAAGCCTTCAACACCTGGGAGAGAGCCCTGATGGACAATAATCACTGGTCAGAGAGCRGCCAGATGGAGCATTGCGATTTATGGCCTGCAGTTAGACGGGCTTGCACTGTGATCTAATCAAATCTTGCACAAAATAGGTCAAGGTTGGTCAGTGTTCACATGAGATACACTCTAGGGAATACTGTATTCTAGGGGATACTGTAAGAAACAATTTAGGATTCGGATTTAGGATTTATCTGACAGAACTCCTAAGGCTCGATCCCGATTTCAGGCTAGATTCCCAGACATCTGAGGCACCCAAACAGGTCCCTGATCTGTTATGTAGAAGGAACACTGCACTGCTGGAACCACATTTCTCGTTTTTCAGACAAGAAATAAAATTACAGTCTTGTCTTGTGATTAATTAAATAAATCATTCTTGTCTTTGCTTGTGGACATGACATTTTTGGAGGCTGCATAAATGGAGAAAAGGAGCTTGTTTGGTTTTTATGATCCTAGTACAACCTGCTAGCCTTCTGTCTGCAAAATCCCATTTTAAAGCTTTTCAATACTGGGACACCAAACCCAAGAAATTTTAATATCTGTAAGACTGCAAACACCATGAGAACTTTTGAGCAAGACACATGCAAAATAAAGCAAATTATATGATCTGTTGCTTTACAGATAMATTCATTTCCCTTTACATTCACATTTGCCATCCATTCACACTCCCACCTAACAATCCTTACCTCAACTCATTTCYCCAGACACTGGTCTACTGCGGTTTCATTTATGTGACGCTTTTAAGCTTCTTGGCTTCAATTCTGTGTATTTTTCCTTGTCTGAAAAATACAGTATGATATTAGAATTTTATGGGTAACTATTATACGCAAAAAAAAACATGCAAAGTTTTATCTTGAAATAATCAAAGAAAATTACAAGTATGTTTCTTGGGAAATTAAGTAGTCAGAATGTCACTAGTCAAACTGAAATTTAGCCAGGACACAAAAATTACATGATGGGCTAAACAGAAATGTGATCCTCATGGATTTTGGTAATTTCAAGTGGTCAGGACTCACTCTAGTCTCCAATTTCCCTTTCAGCAGAACACCTCCTGCATGCTGTGTGGTGCAGGATACTGCAGAGTGAATGCTAAGACCAAAATTAATTTATAAAGCTTGCATTCTCTYTATGATTGCATTGCTCAAATGTATCAGTTTATCAGTCTTACGAAAGAATTAATTTCCAGATTTTTTTTTAGGCTGAAAAGCATTCCACATATTATGTGCTTTGTTTTGACTTTTGTTTTTCTTTGCCTTGTGGTCATTCATCTTTGCTGAAAGTGAATCAGAGGAGCAATGCCTGCCTTATCGTTGGTTTGTGGTGTATAATCATGTTAAGGACAGATCACTGGTCTCCTCCTTTCTCCAGTGCCATTTATAACAGACAATTACCCCTGCATGGTGCAGTTGTCAGGATCTCGGGATTGTAAATGCTCATTATCAGTACGGAGACAGCTGAATGCAGTGTGTTTCTCTTTACAAAGCTGATTGGATTTTCCAGAGCTGTGTCATTCTGGAAGGTTTTCTTAGCCGCAGATCAGTTTTCTGTCTACAGCCAAGTAAGGTCTTTTTGATGTGAAACATGCAGGGCAGAATCTGGGTACTGCTCCCACCTATTCCAGGGAAGGAGTACAGTCCAGAGGAAAGAATAAAAGTGCCTCTACACTGGGAAATCTCCAGCCATTGTGGTGTGTTTAAAAGAGCCCTACCAATGGCAGTGACCATGTTCAAATGCCAAAATAAAGGGTGAGAGGGTGCTGAAAGCAGTGGCATTGCCTACAAAAAGGAAACACACACCAAAGCACTCTAGTTGGTTTTAAAATTAGGTGGAGAAGATGCAAGGAGTTCTAAGTCTTAATGACCTCGGTTCTGCAATTTGCCACTAATTAGTTCTACAATGAGTAACTGGGAACAAAACAAGAAGTGACAGACTAGATCAGTGAGTGGTTTGCCAGCCCCTTGTCTTGTGTTTCCTACTGGAGCTTTTATGTGATGATTATGTATACACTATCTTTTAATAGYAATCAGGAGTGAAATTGCATGTGTTATACACTACACAAACACGCACTGAAACACTGCACTTGCTCTTTGATCCTGGGGAGCATGGCTGATATTTGTACAGCTCTTTCAGGTAGGCATGCACATGGCTTCATTTTTTCCCTGCCAACCATCTCCCTGACCCCTGCTGTCTTAACCCAGTAAGGCTCACATTTGTCTCTTCTATGTCTCTTTCTGCAGCTTGCATTGTGTTTATGCTCTGGAATTATTTTTCTCCTCTGTGTATTTACATCCCTGATCTCACCCCTAACATTTTGTTCTTTCTCGTCCTCCTTCCCACACAACAAGGACCTCACTAATTCTGTCAAAAGAGTATCTTATTTTCTACATTTACATTTTTTCTGCAAGTTAGCTATTTCTTCTCAGAGCGATGCACATATATACAGYGTGCTGAAGAAAGATTTCTGGAAGCCTTGAATATTCCATCACTCCCAAATGTCTCATTCCTCCTTAAAATTCATCAGACTTCCTCAGACCACATAGGATCTGTACTTTGAGGATTCCTGGATGTGTTACTCATTTCTGTATCCAGAGCAATTGCACATACCCCAATTCAGCTTAACATATGTCATAAGCAGTCAGTCAACACTGAGAAACTGAAACACTATTGGTTTGCTGAGAAAGCTGTGGTGCATAGCTCCCACATCATCTGGAATTGGTTTGTATTCTGCTTGCAAGGATTTGCCATGTGAATTTATCTTGGAGGGAGGTGCCTTTGTGTGCCTTTTTTTGCCTTTTAAAACTCATCAGCTTGGTGGCTACCAAGAACACAAATGCTGTAAAAAGGATATTAGGAGCACTGTATGTTATTACATCACTGGGGATCTGGCAGATGCTACATCAGCGTCCTTACATTAATAGGCTGGATAGAGAAACATCCTGAATTTAGACCACTCCACCACCATGTATTATTAAGGTGTACAAGCTATCAAGAAGACAGTACCCTGCAGGTATGCAGGTGTTGCTTATGCAGGGGTGGGGCACAGCTCAGCCACAGCGTTTAGAAAAGGAGGCCAAGGCTTTTAAAGGGACCGTGCTCCRCTCATCAGTGAAACAGCAAAACCTAACATTAGTTAGTCAGTCTTTTTTTTTTTCAATTAAAGGGATTTCTATAGGTGAGAATGCTGCAGTTCTCTTCACACCATTAGTCTTTATGTCATTTGTGATAAGAGCTTTAATCAGCAGGTACCTATTTACAAGGAGGTCCAGGAGGACTTCAGCCCTTTCATCCWGCAAGGCCAGTGGAACGGGCATTCCATAGCTCTCCTTCCATCCCTGTGTGGATTGGTCCTGTGTGCCCCACCACCACACACACATTTTAATAAGGTTACTAAAAATCCCAGCTTAATTGTCACTTAATGGCCATGTCTACAGAAGCACACACCCTGCTGACAGAACTTTCTTCCCTTTTTAGTAAGGAAAGAAGTGTTAGCCTTCTAGCATCAGCCTGTAGGAAAGTAGACTTGGTTACACACTCTAACCAGCAGATCTTGTGAACTCAGAGCCTTGCTTTCAGCAAGACAGGCATGATAAAATCTTACCTCTTTCTTCAATAACATGACTAATAAATGTAGAAATTCCTTTCTCCTCTCTCCCTTTGCCAATATCTGTCTTATCTCCAGTTCTTCCTTAGACATAATTTCAAACATGAAAGACATGTCTATACTATGAACAAGCAACCTTGATTCTGGCATGAGATCCATGGCCCGCTGCAGCTTAGTGTTGGAGAGCTGCAGCTTAAGATCTGGCATCTGCAAAACCTGGGAACTGGAATTTCTGCTGCCGGCTTGCTGCTTGCCTGGGGTTAGCCTGCTCTGTCTTGCAAAGGCAGCACCAGGCTCCACTGCAAATTTCTTTCCAAAGCAGGTGCACAGCTTGAACAAACATGACAAGCATTTATGAAATGAGCTYGCCATTAAACACTCTATCCAGCAAGTAAAGAGAACTATCATGAAGCCTTCCTGGAATTTTGGCAGCATTTGCAAGAGATCATCTGCAAATTGCTTGAGATGGGTATTACATGTGTGCTGTAGGCAATAAATAAGAGTGATTTTAAGGGGCAGTGTATATTGACAAAGTAACACCTCTCAGAATAGAGCCCAACCATTGGCATAAGTAGTGGAGACGCACTAACARAATCAGGATCTAGGGAGTGTCTTAAACATGTATCTGATAGCACAAACACCAGATAAACAGCAAAGTCCAAAGAATTCAAAAGGTTGCAACCACACTAAATCCTCTCAGTTAACATGGGAGTTTATTGTTATTAAAGATCACGGTAAACTACACCTAAAGCACCAGAATGCTGCCAAACCCCTGGATGTGCAACCCAGCTACGTTACAGCCTTATCTCAGAGTGAGACAAATGCATTCATCAGGTCCCCACTTTGCCTTTCACTACAGGGGGAGAAACACAGGCACASTAGCTGAGGGGGAAACCATGGCATGCTTTGGCCAGATCCCTARTCATTGAATTACAAACAATAACAGTCTACTCATATTTTGCCCCCAGATCTGAATTTTGCAAAAATGAGATGGTTTTGGTTTTTGGTTTTTTGGGTTTTTTTTTTCCTTGAGACCATACATTTTTTTCTCTGACTTTGTCTTTTTGTTTCCAGTGCAAGTGGCTACAAGGAAGAAAAAAAATCTTCTGGCACTGCCTTAAATGCAAACACTGAACCTTTGTTGCATGTGGAGGAAAACCTGCAGGCAAAATTGGTAAGCAGCAGAAACAAAATAGCTGTTTCCAAAGCCAGGCATGAACACCCCAGTACTGTGTGTTTTGACAYGTCACAGAATCACAGAATCACAGAATGGATTGGATTGGAAGGAGTCTTTGAAGGTCATCTACTCCAACCCCCCAGCAGCGAGCAGGGACAGCTTCAACCAGATCAGGTTGTRCACTGCCCTGTCCAACCTGACATTGAATGTTTCCAGGGTAGCATCCACCACCTCTCTGGGCAATCCTTTCCAGTGTTCTACAACCCTCATAAAAATGTCTTCCTTGAATTTAGTCTGACCTATCCTCTTTTAGTTTAAGACCTTTATCCCTTGTCCTATTGCTACAGGTCCTATTAAAAGTCTGTTCCCAGCCATGATCATGTGCCAGCACTGATATTTTCCAGTGAGGAACGTGGTGTTTATGTGCCATRTGAGGAATGATTTAGGGCATATGTTACACAGACAGGTATTTGTCTCAAGACATAATTACTTTCTGTGTAATAATACCAAGGAGGCCTGTAGTGCTGGTACCATTCTTAGCCTGCTTCAGTAGGTTGTGACATTTCTTTTAGCACTCTTTTCCAAACCTGAATCAATTCCTTTCCAAATGAATTATTGTTGTCTACTCCCAGAGTCAATAGGTTACTTGCTGGGATGCTGGCCKGATCCAATAAAGCCATTCAACATTAGACAATGTGTGTGTGGGGTGATCTTTTGTRGGTGCAGCTAAACAACCTGTTTTGTGCAGATAAAAATTGCTCCTGCTCCATCTCCAAGCTGAGCTGAAGCTCTTCAGCTTCATTAWTGTGGTGCTGAGCTGGAACCAGCAAGAACTACTAAAGGTGCCAAGTTAGGGGAGCTCTATAACTTTGTTGGCTGGTGGACAGCAAAAAGGCAGATGCCTGCAATGTTCCATGTTGTCTTTGAAGCCTTCCCGTTGGAGRTGGGCTGCTTGTTCTTTTTCAACACCCAGTGATATTTGACAAAGGTGGGAAGACTCCTATTACCCTCAGAAGGATGCCAGAAAGAGCTTTAAGACTTTCTAATGACCTTTACTGACATAGAATCTTTTAAAGTATACTTTAAAAAATTGAAACTAACTTTTTCTTTTACGGGAAGGGCAGTTGTCCAAACTAAACAAGTTGAGTTTATAGTTTAAAAATAGCTTTTAAAACTGCATGATTACCAAGCCCACCCCAAATTTTAAAGCATTATGCAACCATGTTACCCTACTGCGAATTACCACTAGCTGATGCCAATTAACTTCGAAGAAGCTCTTTTATTTTGCACTATCTGTTTATATTAAACAGAGTGCAACTTGTGGTTCTGCCAAACCTTGGGTCATAGCAGAATGGGAATTTGGTAAGAATTTTAGACAGATGAAAGGGAAGAGAAAAAGAGACATGAGAGTTCAGAATTTGGCCATTGACAAAAGAACTTATTTTCAGTTGATTGTTTTGCCCTTCTGAACAGAAATAATAAGATGAAGGAAGAAAGGAAACTGGTTTTGYAAACTCTCATAGATATAAAAGATCATAAAGCCTTGAAATTCTGCTGTCTCAAAAATTTTTTAACCCAGTCTTTCTTTTGTCTGTGAATTAAGACTATTCCCCTTGCCCAGGAAAACCAACTTTATGCTAGAAGAGGCCACAGATGGGGAAACAGTTTGGTCAGTGTGGGAGGGATCAGTCCTAAATAACAGTAAGATATATTATACCATCAAAAAATGGCATGTCTGGAAGGAAAGTTTTGAGCACAAATTAATATTGACCTTAGCCAGAACAACTTGCTCTCTTCAACATCTGCAGCTGCGTGGTTACTAGGGAGTTATCTGGCATCGTATGCTTTTTCACATCTGTCTACTAAATCAGAGATAGAAACACAAAAATCTAGCACAAAGGGACATTATATGGATTTGTGACACTCCCAGAGGGACTTAGAGTCTTTAAACTAACCAAGATATTACAATGGGACACAGGTATAATATTGGACTAACATTCTGTCTGCTCCATTGTGCAATGGAAAAACTATATCTATTTTCTTCTGATGAGCTTTCTGAAACTTCCAAACATGGATAAACAGAACTACAGTATATATGAGACAATAAGTTTGGCATACATACATGAAACTTCATACTTCTGGGATGAGCAAAATGAATAATCTCGATTTATATTAATTGCCTTACAACACCATGTGTTGTGTGAGGGAAAGTAACAGTAGGAACAGATTGAGAGAGGACGGAGAGATTCACAGTTTAGTTCATATGGTATTTTCATCATTCTTCATMATTTTCAACTTCACTAGCAACTTCCAAGGACTAAGCTGGGAATTCTTAGTAGAAATGGTTATGACAGCGTTATTCACATGGAGTAACAACATTTTTCAGCATGTTGCATGTGAGGTAGTGAAATGAGTGGTATGTKGTATTTTCCCTGCCTGCATCATCTCAGGTTATGTTATGGTCYAGTCTAAATGACAAGGTGATGAAATTGCATAGGTGTAACATGCCTTTATTTCAGCAGCATGCATGACACAAAGTACTAAAATCCCTGAAGTATAACAGTGTTGAATAATATGGTTCTAAATTTTCAGGTGTCAGTGGGGTATTTGCATGTTATTGCCCCATGCTTCTAAAATATGAGAGTTGTTCTTAAATTATGTTCTGAGTSTGTATAAAAAAGCTCAACCAAATAAGAATGCAGTAACACTTGCCCTCATTTTGAATAGTGAGGGTATATATATATTGAGTGTATTATTTATAGTCATTAGGCAAGGTGAAGAAATGCCAYGTGATTTCCAATGGAGAGCCACCAATATAACTTTAACCTTACAGAAATGGAATAATAGAATCTTAGAAATCTCAGAATCATAGACAGGCTTTGGYTGGAAGGGGCTTAAAGATCATCTCATTCCAATGTCYCGGCCAYGGGCAGGGAATCTGTTTTCCCTTGTCCAAATAACATTTTCATATAACAAGAAGAATAGAGAAGGGGACTGTAGACATAAGGTAAGCAAAAGCAGTGGTGACAGATGTTAGGAGTAATAGAGGTGCTCTTTATGTGACAGAAAAGTATTGAATTTACTTTCTGCTGGATTAGCATAAGGGGGCRGTCAGACTGATGTCAGCACTTGTGCAAAAGAAGGGCTGCAGCAGCAAGAGTGGTTTAGATGACTGAAAAAAGAGCTGCTGCTTTGAAGCAGATGCTTTTTAAATTGTTCTAATATCATGAAGTATGATGTTCATCACTATCATGGGCAACGTGGTTATGTGGGACTATCTCTTGATATTTCTTTCCATAGTAAAAAGTTCTTCTCTTGCTTCTTACAAGAGAGTGGACTTAGCCCAAAGACAGTCTGTTCCTAAAAGCATTTTATAGCATGCTAAAAACCTGTGTACATGGCCAACCTGGCTCAAGATGACATTAAATGGAATGCTCATGGAATGAATATTTTGGATTTGCATTTATTTGCCCCAAGTTTTGACTGACTTAAAATAATATCTTGCATTTGGTGATATCTATAGCTCCAACTCTCATAAAATGCATCTTTAAAATACCTTGATATCATCTAATCTGTGGTTTTAAGGGTTAATTTGAAAACATGCACATCCAGTTAATGAAGCAGATTACTTAGAGCAAAGGAACTCAGAAGCGTAATTACAGCAGAAAAAAAAAAATTACATGTCTAAAGTGAATTCATATTTTAAAATTAATTTTATTCATCCTTTCTCTTGATCCTTCTTTTTCCCCATGAACACTGAAACTGCTTTTGTATACATATATACAGAAAGCAAATTTYAGTGTCCTGTGGAAATTGCAGCAGAAGCTCAATTTATTCTCACAGATAGATAGAAAGAAAATAGATGAAAGAAAATAGATAAAAGAAAATTCCTGCACATTTAGCTGGCTAATAACAGCCAGCTAAACAATGGCATAAACCAAATAATAAAGAGCTTTTTAAGTGTGCAAGAAACACAGTAAAGATGCTGTAATGTGGAAAAGTGAGGGTTTTTTCCCAATCATAGATAAAAAAGTCGCTGCCCTAAATACATCTAAAGAAGACCACAGCTGGTGTGGTTTCCCCGAAGGCGGGGTTTGGTGGCAGCCCCAGCGTAGCCCTCGTACCCTCCACATCACCACTGAGTCTCTCTTGCTCCAGCCCACCAGGACATCCCCACAGGTTACATCCATACAGATGTGTCTTTCAGGGGCCCAGCTGTTGCCTCATTTCTCCTCCAACCCCAGTCACATCATGAGCATTCTGTGGGACAGCTTATCTCGAGGGAAAGTGTGATTGTGCATTCAGCCCTGCAGCCAGTGTGTGGGCTACACCCACATCACCAGTCCAGCTTTTCCATTTTTGGYTCTATGCTCCTTAGACTTGTGTAATCTAAAATTCAAGCTTTTAGGCTTCAACCATTACAGGCAACACTAAAACGCATCCAACATCCTCTTAATATCTATGAAGTTCTTTCAAGTAAATCCAACATTTCTTGAGAAGTTAAATCTGGTTGCTTTGTGACAATTTGGAACTGAAAACAGACAACCTGGTTAACTGGAACTTAAAAATGCAAAATCGACAGTGAATACAGTTTAGCTTTTGGCATCATATTRTGTTTGTCTCAGGAGTAATAACAGTTCTTATGTTTTAAAACAAATATTTAGCAAACAAACAGGTCAGATGTTGTTCAAAAAGCAAAAGGCAATTTCCACTATTTTTTTCCACTTGTTTGACAAGGTGATTCATTTACACACTCCTTACTAAGTCACAGGAGGAGAAATTTAGGGTTGCCTGAGATGGATAAGTGGGTCAAGTTACCCTTTGGAAGACATCAGTGAAAAAAATGTGAAACAGAGGAATCCACTGCCTCTRCCCTCTGAGCTTCATGCAAATCTGCTCTGGAAATTCGGTTATGTCTCATTTTCTAGGGCTTAACCACAGCAGCAGGCCTGCAGGGATGTACTTTCACCAACACCTTAAGCAGCCTTTGCTGCTGAAATAAAACCCCGGAGCATTTTCCCTCCACTCCCATACCCCACTCCTCCTGCCCCCTTGTCATTCCTCTGTGAAGCTGTTTTTGGTTAGAGCTGAGCAATGGTTTGGCTGGTTTGGCACAGTTCATCAGCTGGCTTTGCAAAAGGTGGTGCTGACACAAGGAGGGAGGTGGGGAGAAGGAAAAACCAAGAGCTGTGTGGGACTGCAGCAGGGTTAGCTCTGCTTGCAGCCAAAAGATGCAGCCAAGACAATTTACTGGCTGGCTGCTGCCAAAAACATCAGTCCCACACCCTCCTTCCCTCTCTCCTCTACACCTGTCTGCAGCTGTGGAGCCAGGCTCTTCTTGCTTGGGCATCCCTTGCAATGACCAGTTCAGCTTATTAAACTATGGGATAACTGTTTTTATGTTTTAACTGCATAGGAGCTGGAATGGCTCACTGAAGGATCAGAGGAATATGGAGCAATGGGAAGAGAAGTGGAAGAAGTGCATGGCCAGCAGCAGGAAGACAAGTKGAGGAGGAGGACAGAAGAAGCACCCCTTTCATCAGCAATGACCTGTTAGTTTGGCTTAACTGGATTTTCTAACTTCACTTTTGCACTGTTTTGGGCAGCAGTGTAGGCTTGTGTCAGCTAAAAGTGTTGTGAAACAGCATCSTATGTCTCATTTCAGCCATGCA